AGGCTATAGATGCAGGTCAGTGGCTCAGGGTTTTACTGGTCCAAGTACATTTTTATTGGCTTATGAAAAAAGCTATAGTCTTTGTATTTTTAAATATTAACACAATTTAATTGAGACAGTATTTTATATTATTTCACTTTCAATGTGAAAAATGTTGTTAAACCTTGAAAAAAATAGACTCACCCTTGTTTGCTCCAATTTAAAATAGTACAACTGTCAGCCTTCATTAAGCTGCATCATTTAAACATGGTATCAAACAAGGTTAACAGTTCATCTGCATATTTTAATTCAACTTCTGGAGGATGCTTTTTTATGAATGACTCCCTTTTCCCAAGTCAAGGTTTTAATAGAGGTCACAGGAACAGCGCTGTTGTTTTGGATGCTGGAAACATGTTTTCTTTCGCACTAACTGAGCTCAGTGTCTCAGTAACAGTACCGCCTCATTGCTCTTTGCAGTGATTTTGTTTTATTCACCAAAGATAAAATAACATGCCAAAGACCAGCCAGTAAAAACACTGTAGAAATCACCAGTTAATCTTTCAGTATTTGCTACTGCCCCATCAAAGGTCTCATCAATAAAATACAAGTGATGAAAAAGACATGACAGATAACATAATCTGATATTAAGAACAAAACGTATTGCCCCTTATCAAGCCTATTTAATCTGGCAAGCATTAGCATTTGGCATTTGACAAGGAAGTTACTGATGAATGTAAACGTTGAGTAAAGGGACCTCTAGTGGCTGTCAACCACCGTACAGGTAAATGAAGAGCTTAAATTTTCTGTTTAAAACCAGGGAAACCAATATAAATAGCTCTAAAACTTTAAAATAACCTTATTAAAAAAACAAAACATAAAAGATCAAAACACTGATGTAACTTAAATGCAATCTTTGGCCTGAATGTAGTTCTACATGACACTAAACTCAAGAGGCTTTATCCTGTGCACAGTTCCACTGCCACTCAGCACAGTCACATTTGTTACAAGAATGATCTGTTAAAAGCCACATATTTTTTTACAATTATGGGTTACAATTGTAACCCATAAGTTTGAGCACTTACCCTGGTATAGAAAGAATAAACAAATGCACACCATTATTTATTGATGTATTTAGTTTTTATTTTTTCAATGTTTTGTCAGTTGAAGCCAATTGAACTCTATCTAATAGTGCCAAGTTACAACAGGCACTTCAAAGCTCTTTATACTGTAAGGTTAAAACCACACAGTATTAAAGAGAAAACCCCAGCAATCAAATGATCTCCTATGAGTAAGCACTAAGGCGACAGTGGGGAGGAAAAACTCACTTTTAACAGAGAGAAACCTCCAGCAGAACCAGACTCATAGGAGCAGCCATCTGCTGCGACTGGCTGGGGGATAGTTGTGATGTCATTATATGTCAAGGATATTGAATTTCATGTGAAAATGTTGCTATAGCAAGTGGTGTTTGTTTGCTAGAATTAGTGATTGAACTAATTAGATCTTTTCATGCCGAAGAATATTATAAGTGCAATTGTCAATACATGGAAGAAAAAAATTATAACAATTGCACAACAATGTGCACGTAAGAATCTTCTCAGTGTAGGAATTAGGGATGAAATTCGTCTGTGGGTCCGGGGAAACATACGCCGAGTAATTGCCGAACACAGATTGAACAATAAGGTAAACGGTACTCCACAAATAGTAAGGATGGGTCTGATGACGAAAAGTACTCCTTGTCCCAGAGACTCAACTGGAGCTCTAATAAATGAATACAAAGCTGAAAGGTTTCTGTAAACTCTGGAAAAAATACTTGCATTGCTCGTTTGTTCATTCTCCTCAGATCTGTTAATATCTGAAGGTTCTGGAGGGTAAACATTGAATAAATCAGTGCTGTAACTGTCACTAGTTGAAGTGTCTTCATCAGAGTTGTTCATATAAACAGTGGTTGTAGGAACCTCAGCTGTTTCAGAGGGGGACTGTTCGTTTCTTTCCTCACTTTCAGGTGTCAAATTTAATCTTTGTTCCCTTGTTGTGTTTTCAGGTTCAAACAAGAATGCCCAGTCGGGTGTATTATACCGGTCCCTCGAATCTACAAATTGTTTTGATGTGGGTGATT